TGAGTTTATATTACATTTTGGTAGATCACATTATAAGCTTTAATTTGGTCTTTGAATGGCATCCCTAGGATAAATAGATCCAGAGATGTTAGCATTTAAAATTTAGGTGTATGAGAACCAGGTTTTGTGAAAATCGGCCCCAAAGATAAACTAACCTGTACAAATAATAGGACTAGAATTACAGAATATGCGAAGAGAACACTGTTTTAGTAATAAAATTCACTTAAAAAGTACACTATCATTAAATATAAGTATCAAGTTATTCAAAAACATTAAAATCAAAATTTTGTAAAAATGTTGCCTTTGACCTATTTTGGTGAATATCTCAATATGATTTCACCAACGATGCATCTCATTTTGTGGTGAGACCTCACATATTTTTATATTGTATTTTATTTTTATGACCTCAGAATTTTATATGCATGATGCTTTTATATTGCATTTCACAATTAGACAACATTTTTAACAAATTACACAGGCTTGATAGTATACTAAGTGCTTTTCCAAATGAAAATTTTTACTGGTAAATTTGTCCATAGAGAGCCAGCTAAGCATGCGCAACGTGAGGTATAGCCACTTTGAAGTGGAGTTCAATGGCTTCAAAAAACAATACATGATCATAACCTAGGCCTGGTCTGGAATGATGTTCGTTTATTGAAAGAAGGTGAGCCTAGGCTACCTACAGTAGGTCTAATAAGTGCTTTTTTTCATTCTACCAACATACAATATTTACTAGTTGGTCAGTTATTTTTACTGGTAAAATTGACGGCTAAAACGGCTTCGGGAGAACACAGATACTGTAGACTTGAAAATGTGGCATATTTTAATATTGTATTTTAACATCACTTTATGAACAAATGTAAATCTGAAAATGTGCTATATAAATAAATAATATTAATGAAATCTTGCAATCTGTCAATGATAATTGTAATCAATAATGTGGTCAATAATTTTTCAATTATATTGTTTAAAAAATAATTTTAATAAATAAAATTGATGAATAACTTACCTCATCTAACTTGAAGGATGACTCTTTGCCATTCTGTGAGTGATTATTGAATGTTTCTACAAACATAAAAAAAATATATTGTTAGCATTTTCTTTGAAGCAGTTAATGCAGCGGTTGAGATACATGCTGTCAACCTTGAGGTCAAAGGTTCAAACCTTCGCTGTGAATAATCGCTTATGGCATTGAGCAGGGCATGTTATTTGCTGTTGTATTTGTCTTTCCACCTGGGAGTGAGTATCTTGTAGGTACAAATATTTACCGCTGCAATATTATAAAATGTTCAAATTGTTCCAATAACCAGGGAAATAATATAAGCACATGAAGGTCTTCACAATATGCGCATTACAATTCTACCAATATTATTATTAAGTAGCAAAATATATTGATATAATAATAGTAATAATTATTATTACAGAGCATTTATATGGCACTCTACAAAGAACACAGCAAAGTTTGTTTGACACTTAATGAGTAATAATAAAGTATAATGAAAATGATTATAAATAATTTGAAATAAATTGATTTGAAAGACAATATAATACATACTCCAAGTATCGAAATGCACGCCATTGTGTCGGGATTCAATACTTAGACATTAATTATGTCATCATCAGAATAATTAATTCCTGATGATGACATAATTAATGTCGAAATATTGAATCCCGACACGATGGCGTACATTTCGATACTTGGAGTATGTATTATACTATCTTATCTGAGATTAATCAGTGGACCTTTCGGTTTTTGTTTTGAAAGCTTACCAAACATATTCTTCAGTTTGATGGTGCACTGAATGAAGTCGTCAAAGTCAATGGTGCCTTCCTTACCCCCGTACCTCAATACCAATGCACTAAATGTCTTTGCACTCAGAGTGTAACCTAAGGTGAGCAAATAAAAGTATGAATACAAGTAACTGGGGAAATCAGGACACGTGCAGGGTGGGGGTTTTAGAAGACAGGGCACTGCAGCGTAGATGATGAAAGCCACAAAATCATAATCTGTACAAAAATTTGGTAAAAATGTAGAAAAACAATTTTCTACATATTGATCTTCACAATAAAAGTATGACTTTATTTTTCCTTTTGCAATAAAATTAGATAAAGTTTTATACCAATGAATACCAAATACATTTCTTACCAACACTACGAAGAGCCATACGCAACTCATAGGCGTTAAAAGTTCCACTGTTGTCACGGTCAAATTTCTTGAAGACACCCTATAGAAAGAGATAATGAAAGCAGTTTGTAATGCACATACAGAGATTAACATAGGCTGGCTAAATGAGCATACGAAATAACAATATTAATTAATAAAATAAAAAATAAAATAAATGCTGGGAACATAATTACGGGAAATTAAAAAGTATGAGGGCAGTGTTTGTAGACTCAATTTAGAAGGTGGGCTCTATAATTATGGTTGTAGATGGTGACAGGTAAACTATTTAGTTGCAGATTGATCAAGGATGCGACAAGCTGACTCATACAATTGTAGGTAGATGCTTGTCATTGTAGCTGGACTATTAAATAATTTTAGTTATATCTGGAAGTGCAGTATTATACTTAAAGGAGGTTGATTACCTTCCAGCGTGTGATATCTCTCCACAAAGTCTTGAATTCATTAAATCCCAGCTTTCCTGAACGATCAAGCTATACAATCAGGTCAAGGGTTATCCAAAATAATTATAATCACAAACAAATCAGAAATCTATATATTGTAAAAACACTTAACAATATAACTATTTTCAAAATAATAACAGTGTAATTAATATTTAAAATTTTATTAATATCATTATCATTACCAGAGAGGTTATCAGTTTTATTTTCGCTGACTGCTTGGAATTCAAGCAAAAACACATGATAGTTTTTTCAATTAATTAATTTTTTAATTAGAAAAGGATACATCGTTAAGTGCAACCATACTCTTGCAGGACTCGAGGGTGAATCCTGAGGACCCGTGAAGTTCTATAAATAAAAATCAGAGATTAGTTATGATGGAACACAATTGAAGACTATACAGTATATTTATTTTGAGTGAAGTTTCCTTGAATATTAAAAATAAAATCAGTAAATAAAAAAAAAATGCTTTTACACAGTTAATTAGTATCTGTTGATACATTGATTAATTGATAATGATGATGATGCATGATGATAACGATGATCATGATGCTGATTATGTTGACAATAATAATGCTGATGGTGTTGATGATAACTATTAACAATAACACTGTCAAAGAAAAGGAATGTTGACGAAGATGTTGATGATCATGATGATGATGACAATGATAATTAAACAATGACATGATGATAATTATAAAAATAACAATAAAAAGTTAACACTGATAAAAAGAACTGACATATCGACATATAAATTTAATTAATCAGAAAATCAAGTAAAAGAATAACACATTCAGATTCAATGAAACCAGTGAACAATCCCAAATACACTACAAGTTTGATATATTATTTGGATTGAACATTAGACTTAATACAATAGAGTGCAGTTGAAGAAATATAACAAAATTATGTTGTAATCTACTTCCTAAACTCCTTAAAAAATACAACAATTAATATTCCATAGATTTAAATGTCTCAATAGAAAGTACTGAAAAAGAATGTACAGTGATTTGTGTGTTAACAAAACATGGGGGAGGGGGAAGGAGAACAGTTTGGAAAAGAAATTCTTTACACAAGAAAAAAGAACAACAGTCAAACTCAGTGAACTATTTAGAAATAAAATCACTAATGAATGCTAAGAACTCATAAGTCAAAATATGCGATGAATTGTACAGGTTTTCAAAGAAATGCTCTCACGATGATAACTGTTCTTTTTGGTGGTAGGAAAACCTGTCACCATGATCTGGAATCATCATACTTCTAAAATATATATATGCGTATGGCTTTGGCTATGGATATAAATTATTCTAGCTACTAGCTCTATAATATAATTACGGAATTCTTGTACCAAACTAAAAGTAGCAAGTTTTAATATGGTTCTAAAAAAATACCAAAACATGAATGTTGCAGAATGTTATAAAACTTCATTAGAAATTCTAACTAATTATTTCACTAGAAATTTCTGTTGGTAGGCAAAAAAAAAATTAAAAGGTATTAAATCTATAAACATTAATTAAAATGAATTCACACCAAGCCACACATGCAATACGGATTAGAACATTATAGAAATAAAATTTTTAAAAGCAATACACAATTTAAAGAGACAAGTTTAAATACACAGGCTACCAACAAAAAGGAAAAACAGAAAATAAGGGCTCGCAGAAAAACACTCAAGCGCACACACAATTACAAGCTGGTTAATGCAGATAATTAACACGATGCAATTCTCACCATTCCTGATATCTGATGTACAGCATGCAATATAGAAGTTGTGTGTTACAAAATAAAGCAGAACACGAGTTAATCATATAAGGCAGCTTATATATATATTATTTAAAGCCCCATTCCCGGCAAAATTTCACTAAAAACTGACCTTTTTTCAGAAAATATTCATTTGCATTACTCCAATTATTATAAATCATGGGAAAATATTGGCATGAATTTTAGTTTTATGCAAAAGAATAAAAAAAATTAGAAATACAGACTATTTCTCATAAAATATTACCATTTTCTGGACGAATTCATCGTTACTAGGCAAATTCAGAGGTTGTAGATCGCATCCACTGGAATACTCTCGCTTTTATGTATACTTTATACAGTCAATAAAGTGCGCCCTCTCTAGAGATTAGTTTTTGTACTTCGTATCTCGCACAATGCGGTCGTTCGATTAAAGCTGAGATATGTTTGTTTAAGTGTCAAAATCTCAGTCAGAATCAGTTTTTTAACAAATTTGAAATAATTCCTATGAATTTTATATTTCACAAGTGTCAATACTAGCAACGGAAAATATCATGTCGGCCGTTTTTATGTGTGATAACAGAACCTAAATTGAGGTAAGGCTAGGCCTAGCCTAGCAGCGCTGGATAGGCTAATGTTTTCGGCGCCTATGATATTTCTTCTCCCGACCTATCGCAAAATCAAATTTCAGTCTTATTTTACATTTTTTTCATTCTTAGGAATGTCTAAATTCAGTTAAACTAGCAATTCCGTATTATATTTATAAATCTCTATAACATTATACAAAAATTAGATTTTTCTTAAAAAACTGAAATTTTGCCGGGAATGGGGCTTTAACTATCTAAACAACCATTACTGTTATGTTGTTAAAACTTTCGTTACAATGAAATAATGAAATGTTAAACTTTCAATGCAGTGGCATATCTAGTGTGTGTGTAGTGGAGGAGGGAGGAATGTAATGACAATATCTATGGTATACACACCCCCCTCCTCTCACCTAATAAAGTTTGCTGTCAGTCTACCTCATTGAAAATGTTTGAAGCAAAAAATCACACTCAATTAGAAAAAATTCACCTCATATCACCCTATTTTGCGAGCTCACTTAATCATCAAGGCCCCCTTCACATTCCCTTACCCATCAGTGTGCCCCCTCCCCCAAATTCAAGACTCCTAGATATGCCACTGTTTCAATGAACTATTGTAATATTTACCATGCTCAGAATACCAGGCTCTGTTTACACTATCAATTTTTATGTGAAAAACGTGTGCTTTGCCCATATATGGGCAAGATGTGATATCATCATGCTCATATATGGCAAATCACATTATATTTTTACATAAAATTTGATAGAGCTTTTTACTAATCTACTTAATATATAATATATACTGTAGTAGTTGACCAATAGCAGGCAAGTTTGCAATAGTATAATAATGAAAAATGTTACATACAATACAACAGCACATATTTAAATCATACTTGATTCATAATAAGCAATTACTATAACTGTGTATAGTACACTATGGGGAAAATTATTAATATTTTTTTCCTAGTGTACGATGTATTATTGTATACTAATTGCTTTATAACTTGTAATGCTATTTTGATAGACATTCGTCAAAAAAATAAACATTTCTTAAAGCCTTTGAGAGAATACAGTAATCACTTTTGGTTAGTATAGACAGGTAAAATGGTGTGATGATTTCATATCTAGGCTAGGCTACAACCTAGGTGGGCCTAGCCTAGACATCAGCGGCCTCCTGCCTAGGCCTATCTATATCTAATTTCGTTCCTTGAGTCTTAAAAATAGGTCTATAATATTCCTATTAGGCCTAAATGCAGTCTTTTGCACACAAACCTAAAAGATCAAGCCAAGTGTGCACTATATGAAAAAATGTTGCACTGTGGGGGATAGGCAAATAACATTGGGAGTGTTAAGTGTCAAATAACATCACCATGCAGTGATGATGTCATGATTAACATATAATTTTCAATAGTGATATCAAAATGTTAAAAAAATATTATTTACTATTTTGAAATCTGCCAACTCTTGAATGTAAAAAAAAATTAACTTATTTTGTAAAAAACTGTGCATGAGTAACTTACGACCGAAAAATTCTGAATTTTCTTTATGCCAGAAACAACTAAATGTATTTTGAAATTGGGTGAATATAATTTTTGGTTTTCATATAAATTCTATAATTCTATAAAATATAAAACTCCGAAGCAGTGAACATAAGTGCAAGAATTTTCTTGAGCATGTGATGCAAGTGCCAGATATGGTTATTGCAAAATGAATATAAATACTGTAATTTTATATTCTATTTTACGCAACAAAATCTGTCTAGTAGGAAACAAATAATTATTAATGGTTACAAATGTTATGTTGTGTTGACAGGAGTTATATCAGTAAAATCATTTAATATCAACCCTTGAAATCTTTTTAAACAAAAATATAACATCAGAAAATCAAGCCACTAACCTTTCCTGAGTGCAGCATTCAAAATTTCTTGAAGTTCCCATGAATCAACTTCCATGTCCTATGCAAAAAAAAAGTTTAAAATATCTTTATATTGTTTTATTCAAATTCACATTAATAAGATTTGTTCAGACAAGATTTTTTTTATAACTTGTTTTGCGAACTTATTTTTTTAATTTTAAGGATTGTCAGATGAGGGCTGGAAAAAATAAAAATACAATTTTCTTATTTAGCAAATTAGTTTTGCCAAAAAACATCCAGATGGAGGAGAAAATAAAAATAATTTTATTTATTACAAGTCTCCTGATGAAGTCCACTGTGTGGACGAAAGCTAGAGAATAAATTTTGTATTTTTAGTCTCAAAAGTGCTGCTGTCATTTATTCTATATTGTTCTGTAACAGACTAATGTGGCTACAGTTTTTATTCATCATGAATTTTATTGGAGAATGTAAAAAGTGTAGTGGGATGGTTAAATGCTTTAAATTGATACACATCTGATTTTGGAGATTTTAAGGCAGCGGCAGGCGTAATAAAAATAAAGAAAAACTTTTATTTTTCTTCTGGTTCTGGTAGCAGGTTTGCTGAACAAGGTATAAAAAAAGTCGTCTTTAGTGGTCGTATTCATTTTTAACAAAAAATGCTTAAACATCTGTTTGGCTCACATATAAAGAATAGTTTAAAAACACCATAAAAATAATCGTAAAAATCATAATTCAGTATTTTTTAATGTCAAATGTAATTTAATACCAAGGACAATAAAAATAACAATTATTAACAATAATAGCAAAATAATGAATATTATAAGAATAAGCATTCACAGTTTTATGAAGTTTTTACAATATTTCAAGAGTTTAGAAATGCATTTTGTTATGCTTCATTTCTTTCTGTACTTACATCACCAGTAAGCTTCTGAAAGAATTCACGGAACTTCTCCTCTTGAGCACCGAAAGCGGCTTGCTGCTCGGGGGTCAAAGTTGGCTAAAAGTGCAAACAAGTACATAGTATAAATGTCTTGTATTTATAAATACAATTGGTATTTAAAAAAACAACTTACAATAATTGTGTGTGCTGCAGTATTAAGGAAATCTGTACATAATGAATTTCAAAGTGAATTTAATTGTAATCATTAAAAATGTGCTTATCCTTAGCATTCCATAATATCTTTAGCCAGAATAATATATTTTAAAAGTATAAACATTGCTTGTATAACAACTTACCATCACAACTGATAATATGAAAATGATTCACAGTTTGATAGAAAATGCTTGTTGAGACTATTATTATATTGAATACATAAATTCAAAACAATTTAAATAAATTTAAATGCATGTATCAAGAACCTATTAGTTTCCATGAACCATAGATTTATTATTGTAATATTTGTTTCAGGTTTATTTACTATTATATATATATTTAATAACATGCTGTATTTTCCCTATAAAGAGGAATGAATCATGCTACAGGCTATCAAGCTATTAACAGTTTTATATCTTGTTTTTTATAGGTCACATCTCCATCTACACCAAGAAAATTAGGTCATTATAGTATTCCCCCGTGAATATTTTCCCCAATAAATATGTCCTCCGGTTACTTTATGTACATAGTATGATAACCTAAATTTGTCTTACTGGTTGTGATTGATTAATAAAGCATTATTTGTATTCTCGTGTGATTTTGAGTATATAGTGTAATTTTAATAAATGTTCCAGTTTTATGGGATATACTAAAATTAGTATTTTTAATATCGAAAGATATAAGTAGATACAGTATAATAGTCCAATATTTTATATTCTTGGTGCAATTTTGAGTATATAGTATTAATAAATGTCCCAGTTCTATGGGATATACTACTATTTATATATTTTAATATAGAAAGGTAAGTAGATACAGTATAATGGCACCAATACTAATGATGAATAAAGTATATATAAACTATATAATATATATATAAAGTATTATCTATTATCTGTATTATCCTTCCTTTCTTTTATTTATTTTTTTTTTGGAAAAAAAATCAGTATTTATTGAAACAATTATGTTTTGGAAAGCTCCCTGACAGCTAATAAAGGACCCTATATCACTTTTGAGAAATCCAGTATATCATAGAATTGAAATAAATGAAAAGAAAACATGTAAATATTCTATCCCTTAACTATTTACCCCTCCCCAATCTAATGACTGTAGTCCCATCAAATTTTGATAATCTTCATATTTCCATATTATATTTTTTCACTGAAGATAACAAACATTTTGGAATTAAAGAACAGTTCTTTACCCCATGGAAAGAAGACAGCTTTGAATTTTGATAATTAGGCAAGACTCCATTTTTACCTTGTTTATCAAACTTTACAGCAGTTTAAAAAGTTTGTCAGATACATTTATGCGGAGGAGACAATAATAGAAATATGTTGTTGAGAAATTTAAAAAAAAAAAAGGGTGTGTAATAGAGCAATTTTAGGTCCTTGCTTAATGTTTTTCTTAAATTTTCAATTTCTGTAGTGGTCTGTGAGCCACAAGCAAAGAGTCCAAACTAAAAACCACTTGGTTGGTGATGGGTTCGAGAAATAAGGTATAAAAGTCTCACCTTAGCAAACTCATAGTGCATTATTTCTTTGTTTAGCATCTTAAAATTCTAATCTATTTACATAGTTATTTATAAGAGACAGTATCAAACATTTCAGCCTATTGTGATGCATAAGAACGTAAAATTTGTAATAATCAAACTAGTGCTCATCTTATATTATATACACAAATAAAACCATATTAATGGAAACAAAATAAACTGATACCATTTGCATAGTATGGCAACTCATTCAAATGAACAAAACTGAATAAAATTAAAAATAAACAGAAAATGTAAAAATTCTATTATTAATCTCTAAAAATGATAAAATAATTACGTCTCAGGCTACTTGCTTTAATTAATAATAAAAATAATTAATTAGTAAATTAGCAACATGCATGAATGATGTTTTAAAAATAATCTACAATAGAAGCTGTTGTTACCCTCTGGGTCGTGTCAGTTGGCTGGAAAGAAGATGTGACATACATGATGTTACAGGGAATGTTTGTAACATTTCAAGCAACTTTAGTTAAGCAGGGTATGAAGAAGCCTTGCTCTCACTTGAATACCTATGCAGTGCAACCAACATTTCAAAAACTGTGATACCTTAAGGCTGTGGTTTCAAAAATTAAAGTTTGTAACTCACCGCATTCTCGGTACTCTATGCAGGTGATGTAATGACATTCACCTTAATTTTGCTAAACTCCTACATACACACACCACTGATAACTACTTAAATCCAACACAATGTAAGTCAAACTGATACATACTATATGTTTAACATGCAAAATGCAAAATATCATGTGATATGTATTCAAACTAAAATGTTAGTTACTGTATATGAAGCTTATTATTCTTATTTAGAAAATGATTTCAATATTTCAATCACAGATAATATTCAAAACAGTAAGGGTGACCTTTCTCTAACTAAAACACAAAATATGTTTTCATATTGATAGCATGCATTTTTTCTTCAATTTACTGTTATATACTATATGAATATATTGAGTATCATACATTTACATGTAGGATCCAGGCAGAAACGTAATAGTTGATTTATAAAACACTACAAACACTATATTTAATTAAAAATAATTTTTTTTTACAGTTCTAAAGTATTATCATCATGCAACAGGAATGATTTTATGGAAACATTTATACATTATAGGCATCAACAAAAAATTATAAAAATTATTGGGAGGATATCATTTGATAATTGTGTTTAACCTGTCTCTTATACACATTGCTGCATGAAACCAACCGCTATCACTTGTCTTAATAGCAGGCAATGTTAGTTAACATTTGTTATAATAATGTTATGCATATCATTTAATCTGGAAATTTTGAAGAAATTTTACCTGCTTAGCCTGTTGATTATAGAAGATGATGAAATAAAAAGAACATAAAACAATGTAATAACATGAAACTAACACTAAAATAATATTATTGATGAAGGTAATAATGAGCAAAAAACACACTAAATGGTGTTAAAAAGTTTTTATTTTCTATAAAATAAAACGTATGCAGGGACACACATATGTGCAGGTTTTTCAATAAATTGGATCTTAAAAATAGGATAATTGCCATAAAAATACTGATGTAATGACAAAATAAAAAAAGGTTATATCAAATGATTTACAATATTTAAAAAAATTAATTAAATCATATGTGAGCTATCGTGACAAATTGAGACTTACACAAGAAATGAAAAATGAGTTATTGATATACTGAGATAGATGATATATAGGCTTTATGTTGGTCTTTAAATCAAGTTCGGAGTACAACCGGAGTAAAATCATTTTTAAATTCTGAAGTCTGAAAACACACTTTAGAGAAAATCGCCACTAAAGATAAACAACTGATAAATTTTTTGTTTGTTTTCCTTTCAATTCTGTAAAAGATCTCCTCAAAATGTGCCACAAAACACTTTTAACTAAATGTAAATCTCACTCAGAACATTTTTTATTGTGAAATTAAACTTATCATGAACATTGAAACCTAATATTTGTCAATTTATCATTTCATATATACTGTATTTTCTTGAATATCTGAAAGTGACCTGGCGTAGAACAAGACTCATTTGTGGCAGAGCCAAGCCAAAGGAGGGATAAGTATCACAGGCAGTTTTCCAATAAATGCACAAACGTGAAATCAGTCATTTTTTCTGATTTTTTTTTAATCTCTAAAACATGCATGCAGGGACTTATCCCTCCTTTGGCTTGGCTCTGCCACATTTTGTCATGACACCTCACATATTTCAAAATTAATAAACTGTAAAATAGCACCTTTATGTAATTACCAGCAATAACTTAATAAATTGCAGATGAGTATACTTGTATTGTACAAACTCATACACACTATAAATTTTAAAGACAATATGTGTGATTTGCCCATAAATGGGCATCATGCCATATCAAAGCCATACATGGGTAGGAAGATGCCATGTCATACTCTAACAGGCAAATAACAGATATTGAGCAGCAGGCAAAAAATCTCTATATCTACAACTATATGTTGAAATATCAAGTATCAAAATTGCATTCATCTAAATATAAAGCAACTAAAATAATAAAGATTTTCACAAACAAATAATTAATTTAAATAATTAAAATACTTTTATCTATACTGATAAATGCTTGCAGTACACCACATAAACTGTTCTTTTTTTATAGATTTACCTTTATTTCTCACGACAGCTGGCAAAACAGTGTTATAAGAAATGTATTATTACAAGTTAAAATGAAAGTCTAAATGTGAACCTACCTCTTTGGGAAGTTCAACAACACCTGTTTCTTCATCATGTTCTCTATAACAGGAAAGATGCTTTATTAAAAAAAATGGAAGCATGTACTACTGTGAATGTTACCATAGGCTCACCGAAGTGTTTGACCTAAAATGGGTACTCACTGCGTCTATGGAGAACTGAACGTGACACCGGATCATTTTAATGATAATCGTTTCAGACTGCCATTGACAATCGGCAGATGGCGACGCATGGTATAGCGGAAACAGAGAATGGAGTTAGATTCGGCGTACGATGCAGAGAGTGCCCGGCTTAAGGCAAAATGAAATCTCCGTAAATAGAGATTCCAAGCCATCGTGATTATTTTGAACAAAAATTGTTCATCTTCGGGAATGACATGTTTATCAATCAAATATAAGCAAGCAATGATTTTCTCCCTTTGCCCAAGTATCATGACATCAGCTGCCAAAAGGGGCAAGAAAATTAATATAAAATTAAAATGCAAAATTAAAATCTAAGAGAATATTAAAAAGAAATTACAACAATAAATTATAATTACTCACTTTGCCTGTGACTTTTTCAAACTGTAGATCCTCAAAACAAAGTCGCCTTCCTCATTTGCGTTGAATGTTGATGGAATGATGCAGTATTCACCTTTCGGGAGTGTGAAACGTCCGCAGATCTCTCTCGTGTTGATGAAGGTGTTTGAACGTGCTTTTGACGCATTATACAAAAAGTACTCCTTTGGCAAAGTTGACAATTTCTTATCTTTGTTCTTTAACTGAAATTGGGAGGATATCATTTGATAATTGTGTTTAACACGTTGACTGCCAGACCTTGTTTTTAAGTTCCTTTACCGTGTGCCAGAACAAGTATACAGTACATGTACAAACATACTTTTTTGAAATTCTATCTAGTCACATATCATCAAAATGGTGTGTCTAATAAATTGGCGGGAAAATATAAGGGTAAGGGTAAATTTGTCGCCAGCACTGGGACAGTACGTTTTATTGCCTCTGCCAAGTGTGAATTTTCTTGGCTGCTTTTTGCATGGGTTGGTATATGTTCAGAGGGCGTCCCCCACTTGTGCAATCGATTGTTCTGCTGGCAACATAACACAACGAACATACATCCTTTATTTGTACGTTATCGTGTAGTTGTATATTCCCGAACTATTAGCCGTTAAGTCTGCGGGTGGCGCCAGCGGGGGAGGGGGGCAGCAGGGTCTTAAGCCCCTCCACCGGACAGGTCAAGGCCCCCGATTGGACAGAGCTCGTCGGGCAGTTGGATTAAAAAATATATAAAAATAGGCCCACGCCAAGCCAACACATGTCTGTCACAATCAGAGAGTGTCATTTCTGGCCATCCAGAGGTTCCTATTCTTAAAAAAATCTAATTTGGGAGGGGGAACACCCTCTCAAACCCTTCCCCAAGCTCAGGCCAACCAGCTCAAGTCCCCCTGTCGGACAGCTCAGCCCCCACCCCACCAGAAAATATATCCTAGAGCCGCCACTGGTTCTACAATGTGTAACAACGAAGTAATAAACGCTAAAATGAGAACGCAACACCACGACGCGCATGTAACAGATTGTTTTTAATGGCTATCTGTTCAGAATGTCACCGACAATCAGCAGACGGTGTTGAGTTGCGTCGTATAATGCTCATAAGGAGCAGAGTTTGATTCGTCACACGACCGTCGTACAACCGTCATGTGATGAATTGTGTGCCCGGTTTAAGTCTATGTAAAGCATTTTTGTGTATGTTTATCTGACAGTATTGCCACTTTGAAGAGTGATTAAGTTCACTGTTTGGCATATCCTTGACCCTAGTGCCTAAAGCTGAACAAGACTGGTACCTCGTAGATGGAAAAGCCAATGGTTAGGTTATCGATGCCCATTCTCTTCTGCTTGCGGCGATTTTTCTGCATTAGGCTAACGATAAATGTTGATCCTCCTTCTAACTTGACTGTGCCAGGTTCTTCGTCTTCGTCATCCTCATCATCACTTCCATCCTCCTCTTCCAAACTCAGCCGGACTTGTGGATTGATCCAGAAAGTGTCTTTGGAGAGGAAGATTAATACCAAGATCGAATAACAATAAAAAATAATTACATATTACAAAATTTTTTTAGAAAAACGTACGTCCCCATTGGGATTTTCACCCAAGACTTTCCGATTACTCGTATCCTACTTAAATTATTATGTTTTTACTAATAATTCCACATTTGATGCACATGTACAGACCCATTCCAAGTTATACTGCAAGAAGGGTACTGCTATACGTAGGGAAGCTAGGGAAATCTAATCTTTACATCTAGCCCTAACCAAACCAGGTCTAACCTAGCGATCACAATGATTGCAACGCTGCATGCGCGTATTTTAATAACCCACTGAAAGTTTGTGTCTGTTCGTGATTACGAAAAATCAATTTTTCTCGGTTTGTGCGCTACGGCCAATTAGTGTAATTAGCTAATTAGTGTAGTTGCACTCTTAAAAATTAGGTGAAAATGTAAAGTCTAATGTACATAATCAAAATGTCAAAGAAAAAAAAAATTGAAAAAATATGATTTTTGAAGTTTGTGTCTTCGATGTGTCGGTGACGATTTGACGAAATAAAAAATTAAAATAAAAACCTGGGAAGTTCCTGCATCCTCCTGCAGTGCAGTTCTTCTGCCAACGTCCGTGAGTTGCATTCACATCGTAACGTTTCTTGCTTTTTACGTCTCCTGGTGGAAGGTTACAGATGTCTAGTCGCATGAATTCCCGAGTGAAGTCACGGAATTCCATCCTAAAGAAAAAATTAACGAAAAGTAATTATTGTCTGTCATACAATCAGGGTTGCCGAGTGGTTTTGAGGAACAAAAACCATTACAGCCTTGTGGAATTTGCACTTACTAAATACTTATCTGGGCGTGGATCCAGATTTTTGAAATGAAGAGGCACCAATTCATATAAAGCCTAGACGTAACATAACTATACAGATAAATAAGTATCTAAATAATGGCATGATTTGTGTTTAGCTTATGCTGTAGGGAAATATTGTAACATTTAGTATTTGTATGCTGTTCTGTATCTTTTTCCACTTAATACCTTAGCTGGGGTGGATCCAGATTTTTTAAATGAGGAGGAACAAAATTTATATAGGCCAAGATGTAATATAACTATTCAGATAAATAAGTATCCAAATAATGGCATGATTCGTATTTAGTTTATACTGTTAGGAAATATTGTAACATTTAGTATTTGTATGCCGTTCTGTACTGTTTTCGTTCGGCAGTGGCAAAACTGGGAGCCCTGTCACCTCCTAAAATAGACAACACTGAGAAAGCTAAACTAGGATGGAATTTTAATGTAGATTTATTTTAAATAAAATATAATCTTTACCAAAATTCGCCATCATCTTCTGTTTCAAGGCCAAGACTTTTCTTTTCGCTTGCAGACACCATGGACCATTCTCTGGACCTATTGAAGGAAAGAGATAAGTAGAATAAATGTTTTAATCATTTAAAATTTGAAAAATGCAAAATACAAAAGTTCATGGGCTGTAAATACCAAGGATAACCCACAGAAGTCTAAAGAAAACTTGTTGTTGACACCAGTTGTGTCCTTCTGGTGGTGATTGTGCAGTACAATACAATCCCCTACTATTTTTTCAAAGAGTGTACTGTGTTCTTTAACATGCACATAGGCTGCATTGGAAATTTCTTATCCGAAAGATTTTCAAGCTGAAAAACAAGACGAACAGCAATGGAATTGAAATGTTGATCAAGAGAACTCTACGGTTCAGGACGCACCAATAAGCAGCTCTCATTAAAGGAATTAGATCCATAAATAACCAGCACAATACATTATTATTATTATTATTCTTTCTTTTATAATTTTAAAGAGGAATGTGCTGACTTACTCATCACTCCAAGGGCCATTCCATTCAGATTGTCCCCACGGATTACGAACCCTCACCAGACGAACATCTCCCTCTCCTCTGTGTGTTTTAAGTTTAACCTGAAAAAAAAAAACAACCAGATAAACACACAATTCTTTGTTATAACTTTGTATTACGAAGCTCTGATATTGAAAATAAAAAATACAAGATACATATTGCACTTCAAGAAAAGGAACTGTTTGGTACACTATGATAACTATAAATAATGATAACCTAAATACTATACGTATAAAATTAAAATATTATGTAAAAAAAAAAAATTAACTGGTGTTCTGACCAAATATCACTGAATGAATAATATCACCTTAGTTACAGCCGTAATTGTATAAGCATGGCCACAAATCAAGCCATTTGCCTGCTTGGCTTCAGTCTGTCCAGGCACAGCCTCAATGGAACATCCCATTTGTGAGCTTCGTTTGAAGGCAGACATCATCGTCTTGAACAGCTTTTTAGGAGTCTTCTCACGGAGATCAATTGCTTCTGCAACACCACCAGTGAAGTCAGCCATTGCCTCAACGACGTTGCCACCCTTCAATGCTTCATAAGAACCATTGAGTCTAAACGGAAATCAAGAAGAAAAAGTTTTGATGTTTGTTTTCAAGCCTCAAAGTCAAAAGCAGGGGATTAATGTGATAAATTACATGAATAATTAATGGATAAATCAATTCATAAACATTTAAACATCATATTTAATGTACAGTATGTGAGTAGTACATTACAACATTACGTGCCTATATATGGTCATGATGTGATGTCGTTATGACAATATTTAGATATCTCACATGTTTTTGTCAAATACAATTTGATAGTCTGGTGAAGGCTTAAGAATATTTGATTAGTTTACCTTTTTTTTCAACTACCACCTTGGTTTCTTTTAAAGCTCATTAAGTTGTATAACAAATTTCATTACATTTAAAACTTAATGCTACTGACTCAGGTATAGTACTGTACTGTAGGCCCTACTTACTTAGCATAAGCTTTTTCCATAAGTGCACTCCAGAACTCATTTTTCTCCTTAGAATGGACAAACACAAGCTCTCCATTGTAGGTTGGTAGACGATCATCAACAACAATGTCAACCCAATCACCATACTGCCAAAACTGGAAGTGAAAGATCCCGGCATAATCCTTGCTGAAAGATTGATCTGGGGGACAGACCCGATGATGGAGATTCTGGTTGAGGGAGAGCGATGCCACTGCAGCCAGGAACCAACAATCACCTGAAATAATAATTATTATTTATTAATAATAACTCAAGAGTAAATTGTGAAAATAAATCTGATAATCACCTGTTTGCCCCAAAGGCAAGGGTATTAAAAATAAATCTGATGCAAAGATGGCGATGAAATTACTCAGTATGAGTTAACGGTAAGTTAAACTGCAACTGAGTATAAGGCCAAATAAAATAAAAAATTTGTTTCTTGTAACATTTGTAAAGAGAGATAATTTTTTGGCTGTTTTTCCCCTACAGGTAACACTAATATGGCGAACACTGGCCAAACCAGAGACACAAGAAAATTACTGCTACTGTATTTGTAATAATCCAGTGTGAAGGATTCAATGTTGTGGGCTGGGGCAGGGGGAGGTGGGGGGGGGGAGGGAATGAGAATTTAATTCTTTTATTACATGGAATTATACAAGACCAAATATTAGTTTATAAGCAATGCTAGAGATGTAATATTAGCAAAATCAGGGTTCAAATTTCCCAACAGCAACGACAGCAACTGCTATAGAAAGGACCTTTCACTGCTGTGTTCTAAATCCCAGGGTCGACAGCAAACTTTTTGCCGTTGAGTCACCTGACCCAGCAATGGATTATACACTTGCATGGCCTATTCTTAAAACAATTTAGGAAGGTTGTTACTGTAGAAGAATAAATTGCTCTAGTAAAGCCGTACTGTAGCCCACAGCAACTATTTGCTGATGGAGCATTTTGAGAATTATCCTCAAAATAAAATGGTAATCCGTTGTCTTCAATTTAATTGAAGATATTTGATGAAAACCATGTAACACTGTACAGTGCATAGCGCTTGCACAAAAATAGAAGAAAAGGAAAGGCAAGTAATTAATAATTGGTCTTTCGAAAATATAACTTGATGAATGTTAATTGAATAGTGATATGGACTCAAATGGAAGTATTGGAACGAAGCCAGATGTGTCATCATTGAGTAATTGGAAAGTGTGTAAGCCTATACTGTACGTCAGCTTTATGAACCACGGTCCCGAAGTTGATTCAAAAAGAATGAGCTATAGAATAACATATACCTACTTGGTGAATGTTAAAGCTCTGTCAGTGCCTATATATGGATATGATGTGATGTCATCATGCCCATATTTAGGCATGTCACATGATTTTGGCAAATGAAATTTTACGTCTGGACAAGGCTTTACCCCAACATTATTCCTTGCCCAAAGCTATTGGTATATTATTATTATTATTATTTATTTCATTTCCAATCTGCACTTTACTATGCTGCGCATTAGGAAAATAAGTACTATTATAATCCTAGTTAAACCCATTTGCAACTGTGCTTTATGCTGTTCGCAAAAAAGAATGTAATGAAAATTAATCAATATTGTAAACTACTGTATATTTCCATTTGCACATACATTAGATCACTTATCATATGAAAATTTCCTACAATGCTTTTTATCTGTCTAACTGATTTATGAGCACCAGGTTGCTAAATTGTATACTTCCATTTTACCTGAAGGGAAACATTCAAGGGTTTGTTCAAGTAGTAGACTATGATAGTAAATTGTGTTTCTTATATACAGTACTCCACAAAATCAGGTCATGCTTTTTTTCTGAGGTTAATTTGATTTCATTGGCTTGCTGTGACCTATCATGAATGGTATGTTTACTATAGGCACAGTTTGTATTGACAGCGTGACTTCACGCCCACCTAGTCAATGTTAAATTCCAACTTATTGTTACACCTAAGAAAAAAATCTATAGTACATACATTTATACTTAAGTTTGATTAGTTCGTATTCATGCATTTCTTTCAGTAACTTGTGTGTGGTCTGTTCATATATAAACATGAAAAATATGGGGTTGGTTTGGATCTCTTTTCTCCATTAATTTTTGTGGTACAGTATATTTAACAAACATCAAACACAACTGGAAGTTATTGTATTTAATGTTAAAACATTACATGTTATCATTATCAATTTCTTTTAAACACTTCTGCTATGAAATTGTTTAATTAAAATTGTTATTTAATATTACTATTAAAAATGTTATTATTCCAAATAAAATACTTGTAGTATACTGTACTGGTCTATTACATCATATCATTTAATTTATATATTAATTATTGGCAATAACTTTGTTTAATATACAGTAGTTATTATCTATGTATATGATTTGTTGTATGAGATTTTTTGAAACAGACCTATATTTTACAATAAATTGTGAAGGATAGTGTCTTCATAATTAAATAAAATTGTCAAATATAATATTACTTATGAACAACTATCATTTTCTCTGCAACAATAATTCTAAATGCTCCATAATTAGCTCAATTTGCAGCCGACAGACATCGATAAATATTTAATTTATTATGGAAATGTAAGAAATTCGAACTGTCCGAATGTAGACCAATGAGGAATTCTGATCTAGCAAGCCTGGAGTAGGAATCAGGAGTACGGACCTTCCTCCTTTGAATGTCTGGAGAAGACAGAGGCCACTGATGAATGGCATTAGGTTCCAGGGATCATCTTACTTATTTTGTTTTTGTTACAAATATATTCATAGACATGGCATAGCAGTCTAATGAGGTATTGAGGGGTAATTTATATTGCTATTTAAATGAACATAAATTAAATACTGAATGATGCAAAAATAACTTGATACTTAAAATAATATATGAAATGCTGATTTTGATATGGTCATCTGTACGATATTTTATAACCTGACCCTACAGGGAATGCAGTTTCTATTAACGTTATCTTTAATATTTGGAGTGTTACAAGCGTGCTGTTGTATACATTTCAATATTTTAAAGTTTTCATGTTTGGGGGGGGGGGCACAATGGCAAAGGTTCCTATTAAAGTTAGAGAAACTACTGTAAAAAAAGCTTTCATGACAATAATTTTGCACCTACTCATCTGAAAAACATATGAGCAAATTCATGGTCTATTTCCTTTGGTAATAAAGGACAATTCATTAAAAATGTTTTCCTTTTTCCAGACTCCGGATTTTAACACCCACTGGAAATAACTACAGACACAAATGCTAAAGAAAACAACCAAGGCCTCCAATTGTTGTCTCAAATAAACTCTGGCGTTAATTTGTTCCCTGGTTCAACAGGGTACTGTGTATTATAGCCCTTGAAAAGTAGCCCTAACTAAACATTGGTTTTTGTATTCGTGTTTCTGTTTGTACATTTGAAGCAGGTATTTAAACTCAAATAAACTTTCCACTTACTGGTTTAAGTAAACATACAGTAGAAAGAAAACTAAGCTAATTCAATTGAGTATTGTAAAGTTATTACCAAGGAAAAAAAAACAAATATATAGTCAGTAGGTTATCAGAAAATGACTATAGAAGGAAAATGGAAAATTTAAGGGTCTATGGCATGATGATGATCAGGAAATATACTGTATTACCATTAGTTTGTCATCTTTTTTTTTTCTCAGATAGCAAAACATAAGAAAATAAACACTATTTGCTATATAATTCAACAGCAATAATCTGGACGCAGGGTTCCCGGAACGCCGCCCTCAGCGGCGAGTGCAAAGCACAACTCAGGCTCAAAAGTATCTTCGCTAATTGAATTAATCACCGTAATTTAGCTTACACTTATGAATTTAGGGAGCACTTAAAATGTGAAATGAACTTTATTCATTCATTAGGCCTAATATTATTATAGTTTCATATTGCTGTACTATATACTCCAACATCACTGGCGCATGGTAACAACCAACTGACTGCAGACCATTTCCGGTCACACATTACTCTCCATAACACAGCACCCCCTAGTTCCGTCACCTCTGGGTCTAATATCATAATTTTATATAGTAAATTAAGTTTTGTTAAATATTTTTATTAAACATCTTTATATAACATTTTTTCTGCAATAGCATCAAAGATTATTATTCATGAGACAAGAGACATTCCTTTCCCTTAATAATTACCCTTTCCCAACCTAGACCCTCCCCTTCTTAACAGTACAGATAAACATCTGAGGTAATTTAGTATGGAAAAACACCGTTAGCTCAAGGATAGATCATTCCACTTTTTTAGAGGGATGTTTTCTCAATGTAGACATAAGGATCATCATGCTGACTTGATAATAATGTAGGTATTTTGCACCGCCAAGATATAATGAACTCCAATATAAATTGTTAACACCATACAAGTGTACGACTACATTTTTTTAACCACTATTCGTTTATATCATAATAGATAATAGATAATATTATAGACCTCATAAAATAGGATAATACTTTACATTTTTATGTTCTATAGATATGCAAATGATCTTGGAAAAAATTATTATTACTGTGAAAACCACAAGTGTTGTTGAATACAGAGTATCAAAGACTACAATATACTGTAGTCTCACACTGTATTATATTCCATACTTTGAGGAACAGACCGGAAGTTAATATTTTAAAGTTAATGAATCATTTCTGGTTTACAACAATGGTTTAGATACAGTACTGTATCAAAAGAAATTCTAGGGAGAATCTCAATTTAAGCGAGACTTTTTTATACCTTGTTTGCGAACTTATTTCTTTAAAACCGTCAGAGGAGGACGGGGGAAAAAAAATTAGTTTTCTTATTTAGAAAATTGTTTTGTCAAAAACATCAGGACAGAGGAGAAAATAAAAATAAAATTGAATGTAAACAGTGCAGTAAATGGCATGGTTAAATACTTAAAATTATTATATTTGGGAAGAAATATATCTTATTTTGGAGAATGCAAGGCAGCGACGGGCATAATAACAATAATGAAAATTAAATTTCTTTTATTTTTAGTTGTGGCGGGTGTGCTAATTGGCCAAAAGTAATTTTTTTTTTTTTTTTAATTATTTTTACTCAGAATCATCAATTGGCAGGCTGCGGGTTCGCTAAACAAGGTATTAAAAAGGTTTCGTCTTAGGGTCAAAGTTGTTTTGGAGAAAAATGAGACGCTCTGTTACAACATGCTGACCTTTCCTTAACCCAGAACCTGGGTACAGTAGTTTACAGTAAATATCCGTAAATTGAAAAATTTGTAAACTAGATCAGGTGTCGGTTTCCAATACCTAGCTATCGCCTGCCAGTGAGCACTGATAGCCTGATGGCGGCCAGGCCCAGTACGAACCGACAGTGCAGCAGCGTGGTCTATCGCGCTAGAACCTTCGATAAAACCAAGATATTTCAATCGCTGGCATTTTTCCACTTAACAAAATGTTATTTTAACTCTTATTCAAACATCTGTATGTTTTATGCACCTTTTTATCGTGTTATTTCTAGTTGTTATATCGCTGAAATGTATTGTTTGCTTGCATTTCGCTATCATATCTAGCATTCACGATGTCAAAAGGTTGGTGACTCCAACTCTTGTTCGTCATCGTAAACATGTGCGCTCAATCTGATGACACTTGCGTTGGTAGCTCGTTGTTCTGGTTAGGTTTATTACATTAATATAGTGATTATTAAACCAGAAATGGAAGAAAAGATGGAACTATTAATAACTAAATACAACAAACTTGATTTTATCAAGAAAAATATACATTATCACTCTGTAAAATATGCGCAATCGGACTTTTTTAAGGTAATTAAGTGATCGGTGATGACATCATCAGGGGCAAAGACGCCTTACTGTAATTCCAATCTTTGAAAAACTATTTCTATTTAAACGGAGGTGGCATTTCTTCAGCATTGCAGATTTTTCCTGGCCAGCATTTTAGAAGTTTTTGTCCTTGAATTGTGATACTGATAGTAAGCTTCCTTGGATTCAGCAAACATCTTTAATACCCCCTTTTTTTTTTTATAAGAATCAGTAAAATTTTGCTCTGGCTCAGTGTTCTTACTTTTTTTTGGATTCAAAATGTTCTTATATTGTTCTTAATTTTACACACTTTTCAACCATACAAAAAGTCTTATTGTTTAGCAGTATATTACTGCGCTGTATTATAGAGGGTATTGCATTGCCACACCTGCTACAAATAAAGTACAAACAAAGATTTGTTGGTTTTCTATTCCAAAAAATAAAAACCTGACATTATAATACCTCAACCTCAATTTTTTTCTTATTTTGTTCTTAATTTTAAGCATTTTCAGCCTCACTGTTCTTATAAAATGTATTCTTATAAAAAAAAAGTGTAGATGTATAGCAAGCACGTACAGTACACAGATACATTGAATATTCATAAGTTTCTCAAAAGGACTGAATCAACAAAATTTTCAACATGCAAATTTCCACTTCCCCTTTCTCTTTAAGGAAAAAGCACTGTCTATATGAAGGTTTTGAGAGTTGCTTTTAAAGCTAGGCTTTGGACGAAAAAAATTTTGTTATGTTGTACCTACCTTTTCCCCAGTTAATAAATATTCAAAAATCTGTATCTCATTATTAACCCACTTCCAAGTTTTTCTTCAAATACTGTATGATTTTTGATCAGTTCTACAACATATCATAAAAAAACTTCCATCGGAGCCTAGCTTTAAGTGAATTTGAGAAGAGAATCAAAATAACGGATCCTGAAAACTGTCTGAGCTTTATCCCTGACCCCGTCTCTAAAATCGTGGATTCTTGATATACTACAATTAAGTGTTACATGTAGAACATGCTGCAAATATGTACTTACCAAGCATACCCTGCTCAATATCAAATCGACTCGCTCCTCCTACAAAGAAGGCTGGATTATCAACGATCTCCTGTAAAATGAAAATGAACACATTGTTCACAGTAAATAAATAAAAAATACATACACAGTTACCTATAAAATACTAAATATTTAATTGTTGCTTTTCAGCCTACAACAATTATTTATCTTTTATCATGCTGTGAATTCTAAAGTAAAGAGTCTCAACACATTTTACTGTCATAATTAATATTACAATATTAATTTTTTATAAACGTGTGTTAGTGTTACTGTATATAAAATCAGTCCGTGTTTGTGTATAAATAAATGTACTGTACAAACGTTGGATGGATACTGTAGATTACATCCATTCATCAATCTACCTTGCCATATGTTCTTCCATTCATTCATATACACTTCATCTATCCATGTACAATACCTTATATACTTTCATTCATATACATTTCATCCATCCATGTATCTTATATACTTTTATTCATATATATTTCATCCATCCATGTACCTTACATACAGTACTTTCATGCATATACACTTCATCTACCCATGTACCTAATACTTTCATTCATATACATCTCATTCATCCATGTACCATATATACTTTCATTCATATACATTTCATCCATGTACCTTATATATTTTCATTCATATATATTTCATCCATCCATTTACCTTTTTATATACTTTCATTCACATACATTTAATCCATCTAGGTACTGTATATACTTTCCTTCATATACATTTCATCCATCCATGTACCTTACATACGTTAATTCATATATATTTAGTCCATCCATGTCCCTTTATACTTTCATTCATATACATTTCATCCATCCATGTACCTTATACTGTATATGTTAATTCATATATATTTCATCCATCCATATACCTTATACTTTTCGTTCATATACATTTCATCTACCTTACGCACTTCTGTCAAACATACTGAATGCATCAATCAATCTTTGACAGTATATACTTTCATTTACACATTTGACGCATCCATCAATCTATCTACCTTTGGTATGAACTTTAATTAATTCATATTTGATCCCTTACATCCATCGATTCATCTGTATACCTTGTAAACTTTAATTTTTAACAAATATTCCATCTGTTCATCCATCTACCTTATGTAAGTTTCATTCATCCTTTTTTAACCTCCATTGAACACACTAATTTACACTTTTTAAAAATTAATTTGTTTTATTTTTTTTTCTCTGATTGAACAGTGTCACTCACCAGCGGAGGATTTTTTTGCCGAGGACATGAATTGGGACGCAAGACCTATAGTCAAAAGGGCAGGACTAATGGTCCGAGGAAGCGGGTTGGGTGATCAATTTAATGAGGAGTTCCAAGTACGCCTCTTGGAAGTTTTGAAGTTTTAGCTATTTTAATCTTGTCTCTATAATGTTTTCAAACATAATAAGAGATTGGCTACTGCTAGGGGGTGAAGCATCCCATTCACCATCCAATATATGCACCACTGACAAATCAAATGGTGAAAATTCATTAAATATAAAGCATGATTTTTAGCGTAAAGTAAAAAAAATCATTGCATCTACAAAAAGAATTTGAACACCTGACCGAAAGACTGGAAGGAACACCAATGATGTCACTTGTAGGAGCGCTTTGGCACAGCTGTTGCAGTTTTGCTTCTCAACCATTAGGTCGGCCTTCGCTGTGCACTTCGCTTGTGTCCTTGGGCAAGGCACTTTAACTACTACGGTAGTCTCTCTCCACCTACTGTAGGAGTACAAGTGGGTACCTTGTAGGTTCAAACACAAAATACGTTATCTACAACAGTATGGAATTCTCCCGAGGAGCTGAGTATGTGTTCCATATGTGTTGATCTGTTCTGACCAGGGGTAATACTGTAATAATATGAAACGCTTTGATACCATGAAGCGCCATATAAGTCCAACATATTGTTATTACTTATGCCTAAATCAGACAAAATTTAGTCGCATGATAATTATTAATCAATTTTGTAATTTATTCTGTAATTCCAGTACAAGGTCTTGTTAAATTGGATTACTATTGCATGCAAAATGCAATTAGTGACAAATGTTATTTAATTATACTGGTACAAAAAAATAATAAATTAGTCAGATTCCAAATTGTTTGTAGAATTAATGATACGGTTTAGATACTCTGTGTACTAGAAAGGTACAGAAATGGTTTCCTCCATTAAGAAGAGTGAATTTTTAGCTGTGACTCCTTTTATTGCACAGATATAGCACATTGGAAAAAGACATAAAAACAAAATATACTAGTAGTGTATGGCCTCTAGATAATAGAGTAAATATTCATTGTTTTCAACACATACTACAACTGTCAAGCATTTTGACTGCAATTCAACTGCACATTAATTTTAAATATGCTGGTCAGAGGCCTACAGTACAGAAAACTAAGGTCTTGCCCATCGTCAGACCATGCGTAATGATAGACGGCCGTGTACATCAGTAATTGCAAATAAATATTTGATGTACAGTATAATGGAAACACCACCTTCGCACTACCTCCACAGGGACGGACATAACTGATACAAATTTAACATGACGTGCATTAATTAATTGAACAATCAATGAAGCAAAAACCAAATAAAATTTAAAACTTAATCTTGCCAAGAAAATTAAACTGTTGAAAAATATACTGTATTAATTAATGGAGAATATTACATTTTCAGAGGTTCTAAGCTTGATTACATTTGAGTTCCTTGCATTAATGACCGAAGAATTTAAATAATTGAATTATAAATAGATCTTGTATCTTGTAAGTTTATGTGTTTTTGGAGTTCATCTTTTATACCTTATCAAAGATTTACTAGACATCATATATTTTAAATATGTACAGTATTATTGACGACTATATATTTTTATGTACAACATGTCTCTAGATAATCCAGGCATTTCATCCAGGGTCCAGGGAGAATTTTGCAGTTGCCTCAGTATTCTAAATTTTGACAGAAAAGGAAAAAACACCCCTTAATTTCATGGGCACAGATCGTGGGGGATGGGGGAACACATCTCCCCCCCAATACTTTTAAGGGGGGACATGTCCCCCACTTCATGATTGCAATGTAATTTCATAAGTAAAGATGATGCTGTTGAATGTTGAATGTCGTTGAAATGAACTGCATAAACGACTCAGGTTTAAACGAAAGATCGCAATACAAACTGAGTATAGTACCTGTCTCTTATACACATCTAGATGTGTATAAGAGACAGTCCATGTACCTTACATACAGTACTTTCATGCATATACACTTCATCTACCCATGTACCTAATACTTTCATTCATATACATCTCATTCATCCATGTACCATATATACTTTCATTCATATACATTTCATCCATGTACCTTATATATTTTCATTCATATATATTTCATCCATCCATTTACCTTTTTATATACTTTCATTCACATACATTTAATCCATCTAGGTACTGTATATACTTTCCTTCATATACATTTCATCCATCCATGTACCTTACATACGTTAATTTTCATAAGTAAAGATGATGCTGTTGAATGTTGAATGTCGTTGAAAAGAACTGCATAAACGACTCAGGTTTAAACGAAAGATCGCAATACAAACTGAGTATAGTACTGTCCTGTACATTTTATATTATAGCAAAGCCGGTATCACTACATCTGAATTACCTATAACACATGTCTTAAGTGCGTGTGCTTTTGTTATAATTTGAGGAGTGTGAGAAAAAGTACTGTACAGTATAAGATTTTCGGTACACAAATTAGGTAAAGTATTAAATACATTTAAAAGACATTTTAACTTTTTTTTTCTATGGTACTATATAGAGATTAGCTAAATCTCTATGATAGACGAACATCGCTGATAAATGATCATAGTGATGTTGTGATCATGACTTTTACTATATACTGCAACAGTGTCATTTCTGGCCGCTTGAGGTACTTTATCCTCAAATTTTCGCACCTCAGCCTTAGCTCAGCCATAGTGGGGCTGAGGCATCTGTAGTTGTGGACTCAAGGCTTTGAGTAAAGTAAATACACCAAAGACAATGTTTTTAAATTTTTATTTTCTATGGCTCATCGCACACATTAATATACATCTCTATGGCTGCCTAAAATCACTGATAAAAGATCATGAGAAATTTGTTGGCACTTCATTTTTACTAAATTTTCGCACATCAGCCCCAACCATGGTGGGACTGAGATGGGTGTAGACTCGCATCTTTGCAGTAGGTAAAGTACAAACAACAAATAATGTTTTTAAGTTTTACTTTCTATGGCATATTAAACACGGGTTAGATCTCTGTGACTGCCAAAAATCTGATAAAATATCATGCAAAATTTGTTGGTGCTTCATTTTGACTACTGTACAATGTTGATGTGATGATGATGAATTTTACTATAAGAGTGTCATTTCGAGCCATCTAGAGGTACTATTTCCTCAAATTTTTGCACCTGCATGGTGGGACTGAGGTGGGCATGGTTTCACGAAATGTTCTCCCTCCCATCTTTCAAAACAGATCTTTGCCCTTTCTTAATTTCAATTAATAATTTTTCATAACGTTATACATACTTGTGATTCTCAAATAAATTAAGCATAATCCCATTCAAACTCACTGGAGTTGATTACTGTATTGTGACTACGATCATGGAACCTAGTGGGGCACTAAAACTGAACCCCATCATGTCTTATAGCCTGTCCCCCGTTCAAATATCCTGACTTGCTCAAATTTCCATACAGTACACCTACAGTTCATCCAATACGCTCCAGAAAATATTATCACTGATGGTTGAATATACTTATTTGAACATCATTTACCATTATCATGATTTAAAACCCATAATTAGGAGAGGAAGATGTTGATTACAATAACTATCCACAAGTTGAACTTATACTCATTTGAATAATGTGTTTTGAAGGAGGCTACTTAGCTCATGGAGGTAAGTTTAGGTATCATTGAGGAAGTGGGATGGTGATGTTTCCTCCAAGTCTTTGTTGCAATCAGGCAAAATGCACAAAACCTAATTCATCCCTCTAATCATCTTAATGGATGGTTTTTCAAATATAAATGTTGAATCATATCAATCTGATTTAAAACCCATAATACAGTAATGACAAATCTACAACAACTATACCACAAGTTGAATGTGTATTCATTTGAATAATGTGTTTAAATACACGATATTTACGTACTGTATAATCGAGAAAAGTGGTATGGTGATGTTTCCGCCACATCTTTGTTGCAATCAGCCAAAATGAACAAAACCTAATTCATCCCTCTAATCATCTTAATGGATGGTTTTTAAATATAAATGTGGATGTTGAATCATATGATATAGCAATATAAACTTTACACACACATACTGAGAAATTGACTTATAACTAATGAGAACACTGCCAATATTGTGATTGGTGGTTGCCATCTCTGTCACGTTCAGGGAATTGTACAACCAGTCACCATACAATCTTCATTTCCCTTTTTGCAAAGCATGTATAATTTCATAAAATATGTAAGAAAATTACATTATTAGTAGATTCTGTTTTTCTGATGCACAAAATTAAAATTGTCTATGAATCATGTTGTTATATTAACTTATATTTTAATATTTTATTTTATTTATTCATGTCTGTTGAGAAAGTGTAAGGGATTTTATTGATTTTCGAATATTAAGAGGCAGTATTAAAAAAATGAAGCAACTACATATTTATAAATAAATTGATGTATCTGTTTCAAAGCATCAGGGAACACATTTCTTGTAAATATATAGGCCTAATGCTGTTATGAAATAAAGATTATCTTATTTTTAGTAATAGTGGTGTACAGTAGATGCTTGTGGGAAAATTCCATGCGCCTAGATTTAAAATCCTTCAATAATTGGTTATATTTTTCAAAACTAAATAATAAGTTCATAATGCTTGCTAAATTTGAGGTGAAAATAATATATAGACACCATACAGAATACTGTTGGTAGTGGTATTATTGCCAGGTTTGAGAATAAATATGTATACAGTATACGCTGCAATGAAGTATTGTATAAAGTACAACGGAACAATAGACTTATTGCAGTGCTTGAATGTCATTATGTTGCAAAAGCCTTCCCAAGCAAGTATTGATCTCTACAGTATGGTAAGGAGACCATGGGTGTGCCTGTCAGTGCCACTACACTGAAGTAGATGGAGTTACTGTACCTGTCCTGGCAAACAGTAATTCTTTTATGTATATTTGCTGAAGGACAAGACTTTTTTGTATCAGTAGCAATGAGGCGCTACAGAATGAACTAAAGAAGAGAATGGATATTAGGACTTCTTTCAAAACTCCTAATCATTCTAGTCTTTTGTATAATAAATAGTTCTCAACTGGAAGTCTTCTGAGCTCAGACAGAAAGCATTCTTAGAATTATCCTTTCATAACAGGTACATGTTTGGAAAGGGATTCAAATTAGGAAAAGAATATGAGGGGTAGCGTGTACTAGTATAAAGACCACTAGGTAATTTTTTTTTTTTTTAAAGCTTTCACAACTACAGGAAGGTAGTAATGAAGGAAGTTATAAACAATTAAACCTTTGAATTTTTTATTTTGTTTTGCAGGATAACAAACAGCATTCAAACAAACAACATTCAAAAGGCTAGGGCTCCATAAATGAATATATACCCAAGTTCTTAAATCAATCTAAATCATAAATTAATTCTTCTTTTTATTTATATCATGTCTATATTAATTTTATTCTTTGAAAAGTAAACATCACATTTTTTTACTCAATAGACGAGTTTAAAATTCTCCAGTTGCAAAAACATGGTAAATGGATTTGTTCTCCATGGCGCCTTCCATAATAAATATCCGATCAAAGTGCGTTTAAAAATAAACGACATCACATTGTCTCTGATTGGACAAGTTGCTTCTTATAACACACAATGAAATAAAAAATTATTGCTGTCTAAAATATGACAAATTCTAAAATCTTGCATCAATGATGGTTGCTTTAATTCCGATAAACTGAAGAATTAAGCCTGACTGTAGTAGTGTAGAAACATTTTCTACACTACAGAAAGAATTCAAATAATCAAATAGTATAATTATTAAAAAATCATCATCCTATTTGATTGATTTTGATTTGATTTGATTTTTTGAATATAATAATACAGATTAAATCATTTCTAAAACTATATTTTAGATTTGAATATTGATGTACACAAATATTCATAACACTTTTTCAGAAACACTCTGGAATAAAATTTAATTTAAAATCTTGCGATTCTGTACAAGTTGTACACAAATATTTACAATGATTTTCACAAAAATATTAGTAGTACAGAATATTACCTTCTAAAATTGTATATTAGATTTGAATAATGTATCAAAATATTCATAAACACAAATTCAGAAACCAATCATGAATGAAATGTACTTTCAACCTTGCAATTCTGTACAAGTTGTACACAAATATTTACCAATTTTATCTGGTGCCTCATAAGCTACGGTGTGTAAACACCATAATGTGTGATGGGCAAATACTAGCTATAATAAATAAATACACAGGGAATACACATGGATCGGTTAAGTAGAGCAAGCTATTTTTTGTTATAAATTTTCTGCATTTTATAATGCAAAGCCGATGAATGGGACTCAAGGGATACAAAGATGTGGATTACAGGACACTGTATTAATAGCTAAGGCAAGACTTTTTATACATCTTGTTTAGCGAACCCGCCGACTGCAAAAATACTGATGATTTTGAATAAAAAGAAAATGGTATTTTGGCCAATTAGTGCACCCGCCCCACGAAAAAGTGGAATCACAGAAAAAAATAAAAGTTTTCTTTATTTTTATTACGTCCTCTGCTGCCTTGAAATCTCTAAAGTTAAGACACGGTACGTTTATTTCTTCCTAATTATACAAATCTGAAGCATTTTAACCATCCTATTTTACATTCACTAGTAAAATTTTATTTTTATTTTCTCCTCTGTCTGGATGATTTTGGCAAAACTATTTGCTAAATAAGAAAACAAAATTTTATTTCTATTTTTTATCCACCCTCCTTCGATAATCTTTAAAAAATATAAGTACGCGAAACAAGGAATAAAAAAAGTCTTGTCTAACTGCGGATGTCCAGGTAACACTTCTATTCTCTGGAATGGATGACAGAATTAAAATGACCAAAAACTAATGTGAGAAGCAATCAAACCTTGGATCCTCTCAGACAGTTGTGTAGGAGAGGAAGTGGGAAAGTGGTAATAGAATGGTTTTACTGAACACAGAAAGTGCGAAATAATTTGGACACAAGTGTAGCCGTGTTGACTGATGCAGTTTTATTTATCTATATCAGCTGGTATACATTGATTAGATGTCTACAAAGAAATGAATAACTAAACTTTGACCTTACATCAGATATGAAAATTATGAGGTGATACTTGAAATGAGATGTTTAATAATATTGCATAAGAAATCCCATGAAATATATTTACAGTAAAAAAAAATCATTATCATATTGCTCTCAATCATTCCTCACTAATTCACTACTAAAATAAAACCACATGTTGTATTGTATTTTTTTTACTATCTCATACTAATTAGATATTGTTTTTCCCCCCCCCCCACCTTGTGTCTGCATAGATATGCACGCACAGGGCAATAATCGGAAAATAGAATTGATCAATGAAGTGTTGTTATCACTTAATTAATATTTATGAGGTATAGTAAAACAAATTTTAAAGATCAGCTTGTAAATATTTAATGCCTATTTAAGCCCTCTGCCTTCTCCCTCCAAGACTGGAACTGCCACAGGTCGACATACAAATGTAGGTACACAAAAAACTGCCTTGCCAAAGAACACAAGCCGTATGCATAGTGCAAAAATAGAACTAACAAAATCCAGTGGCGACGACCGGTTTCGGTCTGGGGGTTGCAAAAGGGTGCGAAAATGGAGATTGCAGAACTAAATCTCTATTTAAATGAAAATTAAATGGTCTTTACCGACTAATTTGCTGCCTGCCATGGGGGCGGGGTGATGCATCCACACCACCAACAACCCCACCCCTTCCTCCTAGACTATGTCCATGGACATCAATGTTGAGAACCCGAACTACAACTGATGTGAAAATTGCATGTAGGGATCTCTACCTAAAATCCAGTGATGTGTACTTACATGGGGTCGTTTCCACTCAAATGGTCTTGGTGGACGTTGGCTGAAAAACAAATTCTTCTCAATTGCTGGAAACTCATCATCTTCAAACAACTTTCCCGATCTCAAGCATTCTTTCTTCAGCTTCTGATAATCCTGGCCCTTGTATGGTGTAGACATTGTGTCAACTTAGTCGATAACTATAATATAAAAGAAGAACACCTGAATATTAGTCAGATTTGTAAAATATAAAACTATGGCATGTTGTTGTATGAAGATCAAAGGTAGAGTAGGGTAGATGCATGGCAGTTGAACTACTTGGCACCCCTAACAAACCTCTGGTACAATAGAGCTAAATATTTACTATAAACTTGGATGCAGGTGGCAACGCTAGTGGGGAGGGGGATACCCCCAGATAATTTTCTTGCCTAAACCCTACAAAAAAGCAGAATAACCACAATTCGTTGGGAGAGAAAAAAAGATGTATTTTCTAAACATTCTATCTATAAAAGCAATTAAATAAGCCCCAGAAACCCCTAAATTATCATACTTTTCAGGGCCTTTGTCCCCCAGGACCACTTCAAGACATTTTGAGCGATGCCCGACCATGCCCATTTCGGGCCACCCCAGCATATTTTCAATCCTAAAATTTTACCTTGTCCCTCCCTTTCCCCACCAAATTTTAATCGTAACAACAGAATATTGCTTTGTGAAAGTTTAAGTTTGTTCTTAAAATATAGAAAATGGTTATTTTTCAGAAATGCCAAAGTACATTAAGATGACAAGACTGAATTTTGATTAAAGCTCCACCATCAACACCTCAGGTGTAAAATTGTTGGAACAATATCTAGCGTAACCATAAAGAATTGCCATGTACAAAATTACAGTACTTTACAGTGGAATTAATTTATAATGAATTTGAAATTAATGGTCATACAAAAAAAATATTTCAGATCGAGCCTTCAATCCTCTGCAGCCAATAACATATCTAGGCCTACCTACATAACGATTAGTATGGTACAGTGAGTTTGTCCTCAAACCGGTCATGTTTTATACCCACTTGAATTAAGGTATAAGCATGGACTTACTTGAAAGTGGAGGTGCTCAAAATGCCAAACCAAATTAGGAATGTAACCTACAACTAATGCATTTAAAAATGCCATTTTGTGACTTTAATAACACAAACGATGTTGTGAGTGACAGTGATGAAAAATGTTGTTTTTATTTTCTTTTTTTATGAAATGCAAATAACAGTTTTAATAGGCCAATTCAATTCAACCAACCCAACCAAGGCTGTTCAATCGGACCAAACCATGCATGCAAAATCGAGGCCATTAAAAAAACAAAAATGTTACTATTAACTCTTAAGGATAAAAATGACAATTAACATTTGAAAAAATATGAAAGCACGCTTTACAAACTACTTGATAAAAATATGGTTACAAAGCAAATATACCCACAAAACTCACCTTTCTTCGGCCGTCAGATAAGTACTCCCAGCGCTCGGATGTTGGAATCAGTGAGCAAGCAACCGCGCCGACGCCCAGAAAATAACACATTCGTGATGATGATGATACCGCCACCTATCGTTTACATGAACCTAACAAATGATTTAGGTTATTTCATAGGGCCTAATGGCCACATTTTTTTTCATTAGGCTTTAGGAAAAAAGTGTAATTTAAATACGATATGAATTCTGAAAACAATCAATTTCAATACATTAATGTTGGGCCTGGCCTAATTGAAAACACGACCACAAGCAATTTTTTGCGAGTCAAACAAACGTAGTACTGTAAGAAAATTTAAGGTTTCCTAACCGTGGGTTTAAGGTAAGAGATAATAACTGAGGGCCCTCTTTGAATATTTAGGCCAGTTGAATAGTGTGCCAGGCATAGATTTTAGAAAAAATGAGCAAAAACACAAAGGTTTCAAAAGAAGAGTACAGATATTCTGGGAGTGCTGTAATAATTTAACCCCTTAAAAACGTTCACTACATTCAGTATTCAAATTACTGCAGGCTAACTGTTATGTTTTTTTTTTTTTTCTAATGTACAGTAGTTTTATTGGGTAAGCAGGAATGAACGGGAGCTAAAACAATAACATGGAGCCTAAAAATACAGGGCCTTTCAAATATATTTTAGCTTTTTTCCTCTCTTTGTTAAAGATTCGACTAGGTTGATTTAAAGTTAATTAAAAAATATATTTATATAACAAACTAGGTAAAAAGGTAAACTGCGATCTTGACAATTTTTTGGCGCATTATAATTTGTTGATTATTATTATTATTATTATTATTATTATTATTATTATTATTATTATTCAATTCAATTTATTATATCATTTGCAACGCATACATTACATCACATAGAAAATATTGTGGCTCTTTTTAACATGGACCAACGTCCAATTCGGCAAACAATGAACAAATGGAAAAACAATGAATTATCAGAGCAACGGACACAATGAAATGCTATTGTATTGCATTGAGGGCCCGGATGGCTGACGAAAAGAAACTCTTTTGGAACCTGCTCGTTCGAGCATAAATTGACCGATATCTTCTCCCACTGGGGAGCAATTCAAAGAGAGAATTACCAGGGTGTGTTGGATCTTCAATTATACATTTTATTTTTTTAAGCATTCTGGCATTAAATATGTCCTCAATATCATCCTCATTGTGACCGAGAGGCATATTTAACAATATGTCGGAGGTCATTTCGGTCAGCCTCGGTG